CCCCACTACCCCCAAACACCCCTCCTGCCCCTTCACTACCCCCAAACTTTCACTTCCCCGCAGCACAAGAGGGGAAAGAAAATTCAGCGGTGTCCCGGGACACAAACATGAAACAGCGGAGAAGAGGGAAGAAGATAAACACAGTTCCATCCAGGGGAGAAAGAGCCTATCCTCCAGGGATCATCCACAGCTGTGCGGCTCTTCAGACACCTCCCACCCAGCTCGTGTGTCTGCCGAGCCTAGAGCAGGGCCCCTCTCTCTCGAACCCCGCCCCGGGCCTTGCCTGAGGAAGGCCAGCCAGCAGGCCGGACAGGAGCTCGGCCGCGGTCTCCTTCAGGATCTGCAGGTGCACGTCCTGGTCCTCCGCCGCCCCCTGCTGGCACTCCTGCTGGTACTGCAGCACGCGGGTCAGACTCCCCACCAGCGGCAGGTCTGCGGCACACAACACACCATGACTCTCGGCCCTGGGCCCTGAGCCGTGTCCGCTGCAGGCGGGTCAGAACCTGCAGCACACCCTGATAACGCACTGCCCAACGAAACCCAACATACACTGAACATCTCAACAAACTGAGCACCTTCCTCCTCCTCTTCCTCTCCAACAGCACAGCCCCCCTCCTCTCCCTCCCCGAAAGCACAGCCCCCTTCCTCCTCCTACTCTTCTCCAACAGCACAGCCCCCATCCTCTTCCTCCACGACAGCACAGCCTGACCTTCCTCCTCTTCCCCCCAACAGCCCCACTCTCCTCCTCCTCTTCCTCCCGACAGCCCCCCCCTCCTCCTCAGCCCGGCTCTCCCGTCTCTCTCCAGCCCCATCCTCCTGCTCCTCCTTTCTCTCTCCAGCCCCACCCTCCTCCTCTTCTTCCTCCCAACAGCCCCCCCCTCCTCCTCAGCCCGGCTCTCCCGTCTCTCTCCAGCCCCATCCTCCTGCTCCTCCTTTCTCTCTCCAGCCCCATCCTCCTGCTCCTCCTTTCTCTCTCCAGCCCCATCCTCCTGCTCCTCCTTTCTCTCTCCAGCCCCATCCTCCTGCACCTTCTTTCTCTCTCCTACCCTCCTCTTCCTCCTCCTCTCAGCCCTCTCCAGCCCCCCTCCTCCTCTTCCTCCCGACAGCCCCACCCTCCTCCTCCTCCTAGCCCTCTCCCCCGTGTCTCTCTAGCCCCACCCTCCTCCTCCCAGCCCTCTCCCCCCTGTCTCTCTCCAGCCCCCCCTCTTCCTCCTCCTCCCAGCCCTCTCCCCCCCTCCTCTCTCCAGCCCCACCCTCCTCCTCCTCCCCTGTCTCTCTCCAACCCCCCCCTCAACGCGCGGGCCTCACTCCGGTCTGGACAGCAGCACTCCGGCCGACCCTGCAGGTGGAACAGGGCCCCCAGCACCGCCAGGACGGGCGCCAGCAGGGTCTTCTGCTCCTGCAGGGTGACAGCGGGGTCGTCGGGCTGGCAGAGGTCACTGCACACGACATCGCTCAGCAGGGCCCAGAGCTCCTCGGCCACCTGCTCGGGCTCCACTGGAGACGGGAGAGACAGGAGAGACGGGGGAGCAGGGAAGAGGAGGCACAGCAGTGAGGAGTGTCTCTTCAGCACGGGAAGAATGAGCCTCACAGCCGCTGTCTGGGATGGACGAGTGGGAATATCTGCACAGGCAGTGTCCGGACAGTGTGGGATAATTGGGAATCTCGGGATAGGCAGCGTCCGGACAGTGCTGGATAAATAAGTGTACACAGAAGGGCAGCTGGAAGCAGGGGGAGTCAGGCCTGTGTCTCACCTAGAGCCTGGATGCCCGTGTCCACTGTGGTGAGGAGCTGCAGGGCGTGAATGTACACCTCCAGACCCTCAGGGCTCTCCGACCTGCACAGCACCGGGAACA